ACTTTGACAGCGACTGTTGTAGATCCGGCTATATCGCACCCTATAGATAATTTCACGCTTGATCGTGGTGCCTTGCGTTCTGATGAGTCGCCGGTGGTGGGGGGTTTGATAGAGAGAATGTTTTGCACAGGCATGTTCCGCGCTCACATGTCAAAGGCATTGGCGGGCTGCCAGCGCGAACGATCGATAACATAGCATTGCTACGAGTTGTCGCAGCAACTCGGTCTAGTGAGTCTAGTGAAGTTGGTGGCAGCTGGTCAACTGCTACGGGGTAGAATGGCCAACTGTCACGGACCACAGGCTCATGTTTCCTACATGGCATTAAACTAGCACCTCGGACTTTTCATGTTTTCGGATTCCGTACAGTTTCTGTTCTGGTTACTCAACCTCAACAGCTAACTTTTAGGGGGGAGTGAAGTGCTATGTTGTTTCACATCACGACTCCTGCAAGCGTCAGCCTGACGACGCCCAGCGACTCGGCACTCTGTGAAGACATTGGTGTGGCAGATTCATGAGCAGCGTAACACAAGACACGGGCACATGGACTTTGCGTTCGTTTTTGAGAATTGAGTCCATGGTGTCGGGCTTGAGGCTTGCCTAGACTCTTTGATGTGCCTGCTTTGGAGCAGGAGGTGCACAACAAGCACATCCACTTGAGAAGCCTGAAAGGCATAGTTACAGTTAGGATGCAGCTACGTTTTTCTGTACCTACACAGCAGAATAAAACTGCTAAATCGCAAGGGACCCACGAGATTGGACGCATGACTTTGACAGCGACTGTTGTAGATCCGGCTATATCGCACCCTATAGATAATTTCATGCTTGATCGTGGTGCCTTGCGTTCTGATGAGTCGCCGGTGGTGGGGGGTTTGATAGAGAGAATGTTTTGCACAGGCATGTTCCCCGCTCACATGTCAAAGGCATTGGCGGGCTGCCAGCACGAACGATCGATAACATAGCATTGCTACGAGTTGTCGCAGCAACTCGGTCTAGTGAGTCTAGTGAAGTTGGTGGTAGCTGGTCAACTGCTACGGGGTAGAATGGCCAACTGTCACGGACCACAGGCTCATGTTTCCTACATGGCATTAAACTAGCACCTCGGACTTTTAACTTTTTCGGATTCCCTACAGTTTCTGTTCTGGTTACTCAACCTCAACAGCTAACTTCTAGGGGGGAGTTAAGTGCTATGTTGTTTCGCATCACGACTCCTGCAAGCGTCAGCCTGACGATGCCCAGCGACTCGGCACTCTGTGAAAACATTGGTGTGGCAGATTCATGAGCAGCGTAATACAAGACACGGGCACATGGACTTTGCGTTCGTTTTTGAGAATTGAGTCCATGGTGTCGGGCTTGAGGCTTGCCTAGACACTTTGATGTGCCTGCTTTGGAGCAGGAGGTACACAACAAGCACGTCCACCTGAGAAGCCTGAAAGGCATAGTTACAGTTAGGATGCAGCTACGTTTCTCTGTACCTACACAGCAGAATAAAACTGCTAAATCGCAAGGGACCCACGAGATTGGACGCATGACTTTGACAGCGACTGTTGTAGATCCGGCTATATTGTACCCTGTAGATAATTTCATCGGCCTATACAACCCTGAAGAGCTTTCCCTCCGTATACGCGAATCAAACTTGTCAGCGCCAGGCCGCATCCAAAGTGCTGCGTACTTGCCAACAGCTGAGTCGGATGCCAACAGGGCCATACTGTTTATGTTAGTTGACTTCATGGTTCCGCTGCAATTCTTGCAGTTTCCCGTGGGAACTTGAAGTACGCATTATCACACGTACAAAGTGTGCTGGCCATGCAAAGAATTGCTGGCCAGTTCGTGTGCCTGAGAGTCTATCGCGCGTTAGACCATGACACTAGTGAGCCAATGATTAGCAAGCATATGGTGGATTCTTGAACGGGTTGTCGCAGGAGTCGCTGCACGGACGATTTGAAGGATTCGCATGAAATGAGATCTGTGATGATGATGACGCCAACGACGATTATGTTGTGATGATGCTGGTGGTGATGTTCGTGACTTCGCACCCATCATCAGTGTCATGACGGCGGTCAACATCTTCTGCTTCATCTTCATCTTCATCAACCTCACCAGCGTCATCGCCAGCATCATCTCTATCATCATCGCCATCATCACCATCATCACCAGCATCACCATCATCATCGCCATCACCATTATCAACATCGTCATCGCTTTCGCCAGCATCATCGTCACCACCACCATCGTCATCATCATCACCGTCATCATCAGCGCCACCATCATCATCATCATCATCACGGTCATCATCGTCATCATCACCACCATCGTCATGTGCCGGGCAGCAGCAACAGCAACAAGACATAACAATGATTGCCAGCATAAGAGCTCAGAGCTCGGCTGCGAAGAACTGAACCTTCGAATATGCTTCCGAGGATGTCCACAACTGGAAGACCATGGACACCGCAAAGTTCAAGGCAAGGACAAATATAGGGGCCAGTACCATTCCGTTAAAGATTTGTTTGCCAGTCTCGCATATTCCCACCCGGCCGCAACCATTTCCCCTGAATATCGGAGTTGTTGAATGCTTCGTGGTTGGGTTGGTTGGGCGCGGCTTTACGGTTTGGGGATCTAAGTTGCATGGGCATGGTTATGCAAGATGCTAGGATGGATACTTCCAACATAGGCCCCTGAACAGATTCGACGAGGGTCTTGGAGAGCTTTAAGGGTTGCTTAAAGTGTCAAGGGATCCATCTGAAGTTCTCACATTTAACAAAGCATACTGGTGTCATTCTTGTCGGTGCCGTTCTATGCTGACTATGCTGTATCATATCCTTATTATGGTAGCTTCAGAAGGAGATCCTGAGTTAGTATCCAGAACCCAGGGTTTAGTTTGGTTCACCTAACCCCTGGTTTGGTTAGCCTGACCCCCAATCCTAAGCGTCCTAACCTATGCTTTACATGCCCTGATGTCTATAAGAAAACCCGGTGCAGTTGGCCTTGAACGGTGGCTGCCCCTGCAACGCTCAGTTCTTGCCTTCCGGCTGCAACTCAATGAGCTCCAGCGGTGGGATGAAGGGACGCAAGAAAGAACAAGTAATGTTGACCTGTTAATTATAATCCCCCCCTCAATAATAAAACCCCGTCCCCGGAACTCAATTATAAACCCTTCTCAATTATAAAACCCACCCCCGGAACTCAATTATAAACCCTCCTCAATTGAAACACGCTGCCGAAAACCAAAAAAAAAAGCTGGTGTCTACGTGTGTGATGTGTGAAAGGTAGCAGAGACACAGAAACTGTAGCTACTACGACGGCTTGAGGTCTGCAGAGACACAGAAACTATAGCTACTACGACGGCTTCAGGCCTGCAGCGACACAGAAACTGTAGCTACTACGAGGGCTT